CTGGATTTGAGAGCGGAGGGGATTCCGCTGACGAAGATTAGCTCCTTAGGAAAATTAGGCACTTAAATTTTTTTTTGAATTTTTTGTGTAGGATCCTGAACGATCTATGTAAATATTTTCATATATATAAAAGATTTATTTTCTCTCTTATTTGTCTTTATTTCAATTTTCGCCTCGTACAATTTCTGTTTCGATCATGTCTTGAAAATTTTCATAAGTATGAGACTTAGGCAATTTGATCGAAGTCGGACTAGTGTAGTTTTTATATCGAGCGAGTATTTGTTCGAACTCGAAGTAGGATGACCCCTAGGTGTTAGTTGAGTGAGAGTGACTCCTCGAACTCAAAAATAAAATGGCCTTTAGGCTCCTGAATTAGGCCGATATGGCCTTAAAAGAATGTCTCATTTCCCCTTTTCGGCTAAAAAGAGTTGATCATATAAGAATTTGTATTGCCTTAGCATAAGATTGTTTCTAGAGTTCGAATAATCCGATATCCCTTTAGGGTTTTCAAGGGTTGATATTATCGAAACCCTTTTTAACTTTGCCGAGGGTAGCCTTTTTAACAAGTTTTGTAAATATATTATAAGGCCCATTTTATTATAAAATTCGGACGTCTCCGAACCTTGTTAGTTTGGCCGTAGCCTTTAAGTTGGGGTCTGCCTCTTGGGCTTATTTCTCGATGACACTTCAAACTTGTTCGAAGTGTTAGTCCCCGAGTGGGGTGGCCGTGGCCTATAAAATGAGGACTGCCTTCTTAAGGTCTTATGATCTCGATATTTTAATAATTCGATTACATCGATTTTCGGATGGTGGTCCCCGAGTACGGGGTGAATTATTTGACTTCAGATATGATCGCCCCTTAAGCCTGTTTCCACAATAGATCAAAAGTATGAAATTGCAAAGTAGAAATTTCACTAAGGCATGGAACTTCTGGTAAGGAAAAAATACTTCTTTCAATAGATCATTCATACGTACATGTTTTTCTATTAGGGTTCGAGTAATCTACATGGACACGGTTCATCTGACCGTTTGGCCCTTTACAAAATTTACCTATCGAGACCCTGTTGACACGAAGTATCTTCCTTGAAAACATAACATCCGAGGGTGATGCCCCCCAGTACTCGAGGTTGATTGTAAAGAAGCCTCGGATACTATTGAATTGCTCTAAGGTTGCACGAACAATGGCTGCCTCGTTATAAACCTTGCCAGAAAAACCCATTTGGGATAAAAATTGGTCGAAGGAAAAAAGAGTGCAATGCGTGCTTTCAGACCTAAGGACTTCGTGTTTGGAGAGAACTTCGATGCCTTCGATGGAACACCTGCAACAAGTTAGCATAACACAAATGAAAAAGGAGAAGGTCATACCTTAGCAATTGTATCGTTTGAGGATTGATATGTTCCAATTAATTGGCAATTGTTCGGCGTTCATCGTGCCAAGTTTGTAAGATCCCTTTCCGATAATACCGAGGACCTGATACGGTCCTTCCCAATTTGGGCCGAGTTTTCCTTCATTTAGGTCTCGAGTATTGAGGGTGATTTTTCTCAGAACTAAGTCCCCGATTCGAAAGTGGCGAAGATTGGCTCTTCGGTTCAAGTACCTTTCGATGAGCTGCTTTTGCGCGACCATTCAGATGAGGGTGGCTTCGCATTTTTCAACTAGCAATTTGAGGCTTGTATTCATAACCTCATGATTTGACTCTCCCATCGTGTATCAAAACCTGACGCTAGGTTCTCCGACCTCAATCAGGATCAGAGCTTCAGCGCCATATACTAAGGAGAACGGTGTTGCCCCCGTACTGGATCTTGACGTTGGTCGATACGCCCAAAGGACTTCGGCAAAATTTCTCTCCATTTTCCCTTAGAGTCGTTCAATCTTTTCTTTAGATTCTGAATGATGGTCTTGTTTGTCGATTCGGCCTGTCCGTTCCCACTAGGATGATATGACATCGGCATGATCCTTTTTATTTTATGATCTTCGAGGAACTTTGTTATTTTGCTACCGATGAATTGTTTTCCACTGTCGCATACGATCTCGGCAGGTATCCCATATCGGTATATAATGTGATCTGAGATGAAGTCTATAACTTCTTTTTCTCTGACTTGCTCGAAAACCTGTGCTTCAACCCACTTAGAGAAATAGTCAGTCATAAATAAAATGAATTTAGCTTTACTTGGGGTCGATGGCAGAGGGATGACGATATCCATTCCCCATTTCATGAACGGCCATGGGGATAGGACTAAATGAAGTTTATCTAGGGGCTGGTGGATCATCGGTGCATATCTTTGGCATTTGTCGCATTTTCGAATGAATTCCTTAGTATCTTTTTCCATATTGGCCCAATAGTACCCCGCTCTAATGACTTTGTGAACCAGTGATTCGGCACCGAAATGGTTCCCGAAAGTACCCTCGTGAATTTCTCATAGGACGTAGTCGGTGTCTCCCGGACCCAAATATATTGCCAACGGCCCATCGAACATCCTTCTGTATAATGTTCCATCTTCGGCCAATGTGAATCGTGCAGCCTTTGTTCGTAGAGTCCTCGATTCCTTAAGGTCTGATGGAAGTTTCCCGTTTTAGATACACGATATATTTGTTCCTCCAATCCCAAGTTAGGATTGTGGAGTTTATTTCGGCGTGTCCATCTTCGATTACTGACTTTGAAAGTTGTACGACTGTCCCCGAGCTAATTTCTTCATCTTCGACTGATGACCCCAAATTTGCAAGGGCATCGGCCTCACTGTTCTGCTCTCGAGGTATATGCTGTAGGCTATATTCTTTCAACCAGTGTAGGGTTACCTGCAGTTTGTCCAAGTACCTCTGCATTCGATCTTCTCGAACCTCAAAGGTCCTGTTGACTTGGTTAATCACAAGTAGGGAGTCACACTTGACCTCGACAACCTCTGCTCCCAAGCTTTTAGCCGGCTCGAGACCTGCAATAATGGACTCATACTCGGCCTCGTTGTTAGTCAACTTAGGGGTTTTGATAGATTGTCTAATTGTATTGCGTGTGGGCGACTTCAAAATGATGCCTAGCCCGGACGCCTTCACATTCAAAGCGCCCTCTGTGAAAAGGGTCCACACCCCCGAAAATGTACCCGTTTTTAACAAAAGTTCTTTTTTGACCTCGGGCACGAGGGCTGGCGTGAAGTCGGCCACGAAGTCTGCTAAGATTTGAGACTTGATGGCCGTGCGGGGTTTATACTCGATATCATACCCACTGATTTTGACGGCCATTTAGCCAATCGTCCTAAGAGTTCGGGCTTGTGCAGAACATTATGAAGAGGATAAGTGGTGACCACACAAAATGGGTGGCACTAAAAATATGGCTTTAATTTCCTAGGGGCGTTTATTAGAGCAAGTGCTAATTTTTCTAAGTGTGGGTACTGGGTCTCGGCTTTACCTAAAGTTCGACTAACATAGTTAACAGGAAATTGCATACCTTGCTCTTCTCGAACTAGGACACCACTTACTGCGACTTCCGAGACTGCTAAATATAAGTAGAGTTGCTCGTACGCTTTCGGAGTATGAAGCAATAGTGGGCTCGAAAGATACCGCTTTAACTCTTCCAACGCCTGTTGGCATTCCGGGGTCTAAGCGAAATTGTTTTTTTTGAGCAGTGAGAAGAACCCGTGACTTCGATCTGAAGACCTCGATAAACCGGCCTAAGGTGGCTATCCGCCCTGTTAATATTTGTACGGCCTTAACGCTGTCCACGATTGTGATGCCTTCGATTGCCTTGATTTTATCGAGGTTGATCTCGATTCCCCGGTTTGACACCATAAAGCCGAGGAACTTGCCTGAACTGACCCCGAATGCACATTTCTCAAGATTAAGCTTCATGTTGTATTTTCTTAATATGTTGAAAGTTTCCTGCAAATGTGTTAAATGGTCCTCTGCGCGTAGGGATTTAACTAGCATATCGTCAATATATACCTCCATTGATTTATCTATTTGTTCTTCAAACATTCGATTCATTAGGCGTTGGTAAGTGGCACCAACATGTTTTAGCCCAAACAGCATTACATTTAAAACGCTAATAAGCTCCTAATTAATTATAATCACAAAGGGACGGCCTAAAAACCCAACTGCCTGTACCATCATTTTCTTGTTAGACACCTTGCTAGTAGCTTGATATTTGAATCTTGATTTCTTGCTCTTGAAATTATGGAGATCTAACGAGTTTTTGGAGAGAAAGTGATATAGGACGAAGAAAAGCAAGAAAGAGAAAAAGAAGACTGGAAAAAGATGGAGTAGATGGTTGGGTGTCTGGTAAATATGTTGTGAAGAAAATGGGATTTTTACAGAGCACCGGGGGGTGGTGGTGGGGGTTTAGGTGTAAAGATGAAAAGGAATGGGGTATAAAGAAAGTGTTTATTTTTAGGTTTGGATATCGGGTATGGGTCGGGTAAAACTTACCCAAATACTCCAGTTGGCTTAAATGACCTCCACGTGGTCCCTTCGTTAACTTGAGGGTATATGATGTCAATAGTAACAAGGCAGGGGCAATATTGATCAAATAGTAAAACGGAGGGTAACTTTAAATAATTTTGGATAGTAGAAGCATATTTTTGACCCTTTTCCGTTGAAAATATCTTGTCACTTACTTAGAGTTAATTGCTGAACTTAGAGAATACAGTAAGAACTAATCCAACAGATGCAATAGCAATACACGAGTAAGAAACACCCTAACAATGTAGAAATATTACGTTAAACTATTCGGCAACCTGGAGAGTGAGCGTCAAAATCTGCTGCCCATATTGTTCCTCCATTTTCCATAAGACGCACACGGGCTTCACTATCAACCTCAACACAAATGTCAAAGAAAAGTATCGTCTAATATAGTATGTTACAATCAATAATATGTGTATTGTGTGACTTAGTATGTATTTCAGTATAGTATCCCTATTTCAATATTTTATTTTTACATATAAAATATCATACTACGTAATATATTTTGAAAAATTAAACCAATACCAAGTAGTACCAAAATACCGAATAACATTATTTCGATAATTCGCTATTTACCAAAGTTTGTGTCACGAGAAAGAACTCGAAGCTAACCGGCCCATACATAAAAATCCCACCAAAACCCTTTGTTAAACTCCTATTTTTCATCAGTAGCGAAGCAGAGAAGGGCTCCGAGTCGGCTCTAATAATCCCAAAAGACTCAAGCAGCAAAACATGGTACGTTCATCATTTTTTTCTTTGGGATATTTTATCAAACACATTCAGCTCCAACCTATTTTCTAAAAAATTGAGGCCACCAAATTTAGCAATCGTTTGGTGTTTTGCGCAGTCAGTGACGCTTCATACAAACCTAGGCGACATCAAGTGCGAAATCTTCTGTGACGAAGTCCCTAGAACTGCTGAGGTTCGTTTTTTACTTTAAGAAATTGATTTTTTTATATTAGTTGTGTTTTAAAGTAAACTACAGTTGAATGCTTGTGTTTTCTTTTACATTTTTCAGAATTTGATGAATTCATTGCAACCTCTACTCAAAGAATAAATACAGACAAAATTATTTTGATTTGCTTGTTCTTTAGCTACTCCAAAAAGGGTTTCAAATTAAAAGGATTCAAGTTATCTTGCTGCCGTATCTGTAGAGTAACTAGTTGTTCTAATTTGGCCATGTTGCAATTTTTGAAATAATATTTGTTGATTCTTCAAAAAAAGTTTTTTTAAAAAAAAATAATAGTGGTTCATTGTTTCAACTTCACACTTGAAATTTGGAATCTGAAGTTTGAAAAAGAGGTTTTAGGAGTTCTTCAAATTTTCAGTAACAAAATTTTAACTGTTTTTTCAAGTTCAAACACAACTTCTAACTTCCAAATACCTTATTTCAACTTAACTTCATATAGTACTTTTTTTCTGTCCAAATCTCAACCAAATTATGTCCAAACTCCTAATAACAATTCTTGTTTTTTTTT